CCATAACAGGTTTCTGTTCTGACTTTTTCGATCAGTTATCGTCTTCAAAGAAATCGTCGCCCTAGATCAGCTAGATATTCGGAGGTTACTATACTCATTACACTGGTATTTTATTTTCGCAATTTCAATGAAAAAAGGCCATGTCTATATCAAAAGAAGGTTATAACAGAAGCTAGACCACCAACTGAAAGAAAACAAACCATCCATCCCAAAGTTACAAAAGTGTATCCTTCGGAACAGATTATGATGGACCAACAACTACGGTGGCCCATAGAGGACACACTACAAATAAAAAAGAAACGTTACAAATAAAAAAGAAACGTTGCAAATAAAAAACAAACGTTGCAAATAAAAAACAAACGCTGCAAATAGAAAAAAAGAAAAGCTGCAAATAAAAAACAAATGCTGCAAATAAAAAAAGAATAGAAACTTTGCAAACAAAAAAGAAACGCTGCAAACAAAAAAGACAAACGCTGCAAACAAAAAAGACAAAACCGTGCGCGCGCATATGCTGGACGCGAGGGACCGGGTTCTAAACATGGCGACTTGCTTGTGCTAGACTTGCGCCTAAATACAGGAATGGCTCCGACATGTTTTTGGCCGAGAAAGGTCTGGAGCTGACTAATGTATTCTAGCCTGCCGGGTTTCCTGTTTATCTACTGACATTCTAAATGAACCAACGGATCCCAACGGATAAGCTGTCCCACACAATAAAACACCATTTCCAAGAAGAAACATGGCAAAATCTTCAGAAATCAGGTTTACACGTCCCATATATTTGTATTTGAGCAAAATCTAATTGATAATATTGTGACTTTTTATCAAATATATGCTTGAGAAATGTTTTAAATATGAACTTTTTTATTTTTCCTGGTATATAACAATACATTTGTGAGTGAGTGAGCTCAAAGACTGTTGGATAAGTGCAATCACTGTAAAATATCAAAGCAGACTAACATGATTGAATGTGAAACTTGTGGAGAATGGTATGACTGGTATTAAGTTGCTACTTTATTTAATATTCAAAAGAACATTTTTCTGTTTAGATCTGCTTTTTTATTCACAGGGGCTGTGCAGGAATAAAGAATGAACCCGAGTCATGGCATTGTACAAGTTGTACAATCAATCCAGCTAAGCGTGTTGCCTTGGGAAAATAAATATCAAGGAAATAAATRTCAAGCAATTGTCACAAACCATCACATCACCTATTATGTTAATTAATCAATAATAATTATTGTCATTTATTTCTATAGCCCAGTCTATACTGGACGTTTTCACAGATTTACAATGTAAATAAAAATTATTGAACCATATGAAAAACAAGCAGAAGACTGGGAAATGAGCACATTCAATGGTCCAAATTTTTGTTTTCACCGTAAGAAGGAGTACATATCTTAACTATTAAACTGGCGGAGTTTTAGTTTCAAATGTTGATTCAATATCAGCAGAGTTATGAGCATTTGAAATATAACAAAAATGTGAAAACGAGGCTGGTCAGGCCATACTGAGTTTTACTCAAACCTTTACAATTTCAAGCACTTGTAATTTCTGGTCCTTAAATGTTAAGGGCATTCAAACTTTCAGATCTCGGTACTGCTTATCAGTCTAAAGTTGTTCAGTCGACACAGAGAGATGATAATAATATATATTGGCCATTACTTTCAAACTTTGTGATACAACCTCTTAACCTGAATTGAGCTCAAATAAAAAGTAGTCTGAAGCTTAATTGTATATATCCAATAAAGTTATAAAACTCTTATTATAACTTAGCTTAAATAGGGCCTGATGAGAACCACTTAAAAACTTAATGTCAAGCAAGGAAATCTTCACTTCGATTCAATACATTGTTTGTACAAAAACACAGGAAACCCGGCAGACCTTTCTCGGCCAAAAACATTGTCGGAGCCATTCCTGTATTTAGGCGCAAGTCTAGCACAAGCAAGTCGCCATGTTTAGAACCCGGTCCCTCGCGTCCAGCATATGCGCGCGCACGGTTTTGTCTTTTTTGTTTGCAGCGTTTGTCTTTTTTGTTTGCAGCGTTTCTTTTTTGTTTGCAAAGTTTCTATTCTTTTTTTATTTGCAGCATTTGTTTTTTATTTGCAGCTTTTCTTTTTTTCTATTTGCAGCGTTTGTTTTTTATTTGCCACGTTTGTTTTTTATTTGCAACGTTTGTTTTTTATTTGTAACGTTTGTTTTTTATTTGTAGTGTGTCCTCTATGGGCCACCGTAAACAACCGATCAACGTGGCTGAAGAAATAAAACCGGAGCCCAAGACAGCTCAAGAAAAAACAATGTCTTCGTCACAGGTTTTCCGAACAACTCGAGGACTGAAATACTGTTCCATGTGTAAAGGTCCAGTCAAGCCATCGGTCGAGTAGCAGAGAATAMGTCCTACGAACTGGGTGTTGGCTGCATTGGTGTGCACCCTTGGGGGCTTTATGGGGTGTTGTCTGTTACCGTTTTTTTCTGATGCAACAAAAGAAAGAGCAATAATTTGCTCACTTTGTAGAAATATTCTGCCCTATTAAAGCAGCGTTTAAAATGATCGGTGTTACTAGTTGATGCGCGTTCCCTAATTGACTAAAAGTGTACCAGTCGGGTAAGGGGTAACTCTTACTCAGGCTCAATAATCAGGATCGTAGGTATTAACTTTTTTTTATACTCAAAATCTACAAAATCCATGTATAGAAATTCAATGTCAAAATCAACTTCAATTCTAAGGGGTGGGTATAGGTCTAATGTACTATCGAGTGGTACGTCTCGCGCTACACGAAGAAACTATTTTACCAGGTCACTCAGTTACAGCAGAAGTACTTCTGGTTACAGTTTTTGGAGGCCGTACTATCAATGTTGCACCTGTCGTTGATGCTTCTTTAAAACTACTTTTGAAATCCCTGAATACCAACCTATGTTATGAGTATACGTTATAGTAACTACTGAGGTTTATAATTTTCTGCGCATTTCGCACAATTGTGTCCGACTATTTACTAAAATAGCTCCCCAAAGCTGGCTATCAATAAGGATATGTTATCAAGTATATGTAGTTATACAATCACTAAAAATATTTCAAAATGACAGTAAAATACTTTATACAACGTGTATATTCGGAGTAATAAAACCTCTTGTCTACCTGAAATAATAATCAATTTTTGGTTGGGCTTCCTGTGTCTTTGAAAACATCAAAATGGCGGATGTTGTTTTCAGGCTTAAAATCATTTATTTTGCCCTCTAGAAGTTTTGATCGCTAAAACCACCAAATGTTTCATACTTTGGCTCATTTAGTTCACATATTCAAAGGCAGAAAGAAAGAGAAGGATGAGAAAGAACCCAAAGTTGAAAATGAAGCCCCGAAGTATGTCCAAATGCTTCGACAATATGGTTCTAATGTTTTGGACTTTTCGAGTCAGTACAGCTCCAACGACTCAAGAAGTTATGCAGCATGTAATATTKCCGGTCCGCCGTCAAGTTTTCCTAACTATGGCGACTTTGTCAAGTCCTTTGTTTTGGTAAATTGCAACATTGTTGTTGAGACGAACGATGTTTCAAATGATGCAGCAAATAAGCTTTAAAGTTCTTATATATTCGCTAAATTTTTTAATTTACAGAGAACTTATGGAAAATGGTGGATCATCGCACCATCGGCTCAGCCAAAGTTCAAACGAATTTCTAAATCAGCCAAAATTTYTGAAAGCAATGACTTTGTAGGTAAGTTTTCGAATGAATTAACTTTCTTTGTATTCACTGTAAACATGACCTCTATTAAGCGGTCAACCTCTTTAAAGCGGTCAACTGGTCTTTCCGCACAGGATGACCACTAAATAGAGGTTCAGCTGTATTTTAAATATCTCATTTTTCTTTTAGATATTTTATTTGAGCAACCAGTAATACCAAAAGCTCTTCATATATTAGAGACATATCACCCTGGATCAATTATCAGAATACTTGCATTGCAAACAAACAGTTATCATTATGAAGCAACCTGTGGTAAAACTGGGAGGTATGTAATTCAATTTCAACTCAGCCTGATTTTCATAATAAAGGCTATCCATTATTAATCAACCTGTTAGGGTCATTTTTATTGACTAATTGTCAAGGAGGACACATCCACTTCTATTACAAGAGAAGTGATTCTAGATGACAATATTGTAATGTATCAAAATATAACCAGCAACTGTACGCATAGTTAATAGAGGGGAATTTCCCCTCTATTAACTATGCTGTATGCTGAATGTTTATCTTTGTACACCTGAATCTGCCCAATCTTGTACACAGAGCCAGCCTGCTCCTCTATTTGCATAGCTTCTTCTTCAGGCAACTCTATATATACTCCTTTTCTTTTAGTTTACGAGCAGTTGGGCTTCCTTTGGCGAGACGCTGGGAGCTGATCCTTGTTTTTCAGCTCCTCCCCCCTTCCCCCTCCTCTCGTATTTTGTATATTTGTTCCCAGACTTCCAGAGATAGAGAGAGATGCCTGTGGAGGAGGCTAGTATTTGCACACCATTGTCAGCTGACAGAATTAATAATAACACTGGTTTGTGTTTGATTTTATTTATTCACTTTAATTATTCCATCCTTGTTCAGGTGGGTAACGTTATGGTCTGGGCCTATTCAGAAACGACCWGCTGTCTCTCAAAACTTTGCACCCCCTTTACAAAAAACAGATAAACCAATTCAGTAAGTTATAACAAATAGCTTTGTTATTATCGTAGTGTAGTTAGCTCTAGTGTACGTTTTGTATAGTAATTTATGTGAATACTAAAGTTGTAAATGTGCATTTGAAAAATTAAAAAAATAATTAAAAAAAAACAAACTTTGCTATTATCATAATGTATGTAACTTATTTGGCTCTATCATATAATGAAGAGTGCATACTAATTTRTATTGTATATGAGCCATGCACTAGCTTATATAAGGTAAATGAATATTACTAGTACTTTCTCTTTGCTATGTTGCAGTATTATCCGTCTAGAGTTCAACCACAAACATCTTGAATATTACACTGAAGTTGATGCTGTTGAACTGTTGGGAAATATTGTTACAGCAGATGACAAACCTCTGCAGGAACACCATGATGGTGAAGATATCGATACTAAAGTTACCACCAATCTCATGAAACAATTGTCTATAAATGAAGAAATCCAAACAAATGAATTTTCTTCTGATAATGGCTTTTTTGATCTGCTTCCTGTGAGTAACAACACTTTACTGAGTCCTTTTTTTGCGGCTTGCTATTGTCTTTGAAACTGTTTTTGTTATTTATTCTTATTTTACAGAGTGAAATTGTTCATCTGATATTTTTATATTTACAACTGGAAGACATTTTCAGAGCTGCAGCTACATGCAGGTAAAAATTTAAGGTGGCTCCATCAACATTTTACTATAATACCTATAATACTGTGATGGCTCATCATCATCATCATCATCATTATTTAATACTTGTTTGTTTATTATTATAATTTTTGTTTCTGATGCTGTTTCACATGGTGATGTTGTTTATGATGCTGATTATAATTCCTAGTTGTTATTGATTCCATAGATTGTTTTTCCGTCATTGTTATGACCAAGTTTGGTTCAAGGAGCTGGACCTAAAGCCTTACTGGTCAAAGGTAAAATAAGTATAAGACAGTCTGAGGTCATGTGACAGACTTTTGTTYAAGAGATAGGGTGCTCCCGTTACCATAGCTACCTGAAGTAGGAAAACGAGCCGTTGACATTTATCTATCAGGTGTTGGATTTTAATAGCTCTCTCACACGTTTTTTTTGGTTCTAGATGAATGATATGGCACTTCAAGGTTTGCGAAATCGGTGTATCGACACAGGGAAGCTGAATTTGTCTTGGTGTGGACCTTACGGCGCCATCTCATCTCACGGCTTCAAACAGTAAGAACCTTGATCGAAGTTAGCCGAGAATGTTTGAGGACGGAAGTGTTTGAAGGAAGTCAAACGGACCGGAAAGTTTTGTTTTGTGTTTTCCGTTTCCTTMGACGTTTCCGTTCACCGATTTTCATACGCGCGTAAATGAATTCCTTTTCCGTCTCCTATTCATGCGTGTTACATTATATTTTACGTTAATCTTACATGATGCGTAAAGCATGCTATAATAATTGCAGAACGCTATCCTGCATGCTTAGCGGCTGTAAGGAGGAAGGAAGGGGAGGGACTAGGTGGTTTTTCCCTCCTCTAGTCCCGTTACGTCGGCTAACATTAACGCGCACGAATAATTAGACTGCTTGCGTTCTCTCTAGGAAGTTCCCGTGAGTACCATACATAAATCTGTCTTTTCTTATAGAGGCTGAGACAGGTCTGGGTTATAAAACAAATTCTAAAAAGTTGATCTTATTATATCATTTTAAGATTCCTAGAGAACTCATGCGAAAAATTGGTTTGTTTGCGCTTGTCCGCCTGCAATTTCGTGGACGATAGTGCACTCTGTTCCATAGCAAAATGCTGTCCTCAGCTACAAGGTAGGTGGCTCTTCTTATGCTAGAGTCATAACAGCAATGATATAGAAATCACACTAAGGCCTCGCCCACGATCATCGATCGATGCGCGATCACACCAGCGTTTTCCTCCGTTTTAGCATTTTATTTTGGGCAGGTTAAAACGCAATAAAAAGTATTGTTGTTTTGACCAAACTGATAAATCTTTTGACCAAAGCCTTACGATTCTAGGTAAAACCGCCGTATTACTCGCTTGGCGCTTCGTCACTGACGATGCTGGTTAAAATGGTCTAATGTTTTAGTGTCTTTTTACGGTGTCGAGTTTGCTGAGTAGCTTTACTACGAACAAAGAGAAAAAACGCTTTTGTCGTTTGTTGCTACCTGCAATTCTTTCACTAACAACAGAAATGCATTTATCTTTTCGTTTGCAGAGCTTGACCTRTCATCCTGCATGATGGCCACAGACAAGGGCTTTAAGCATTTAAAAGTCTTGAAAAAYCTGACGAGGTTGAACTTTTACCGTGTGAAAATTTGTGATAGCACACTTTTGGATATACTCTGGTAAGTTTACACATAAACAATTTTTGGATAATAAAATTACTTTTCACAGTTCCATATCATTTTGTTTCGTTCATATAATGTTTGTTTGTTTTTGTTTGCTTTGATGGTAATAAACTTTTTGAAAGACGCCAATTTAAAAATCTACAGCTAAAGAAAGGGTATATAGCGTGGGTATCAAGCCTTTACGGAAAAGGGAGAGGGAAGGAGATCGGGGAAGAGGATGGGAGAAATGAAGGYTCTCTCCGTTGTTTTATTTCCCGCTCTTTTTCTATGAAAGAGACTGATTATTAGGTTATAAAGGGTTGGGTTTTTTTTACTATACGATTTGCAGTTGATTGTATTTTGTTGTATTCATAGGTCTTGCTGTCACTGTCTCGAACATTTGAATATCGGTGCATGCTCCTATATCCTCGAATGTGACAACATTGTACTTTATCTAAAGGATAACTGCAGGTAAAGAACTCTTGTCAAACATTCAGTATGAACACCTTTTTATGGTCTGTTCGTATAGTCAATATTCAGGAAGTTATTACCAAAAAAAACTCAACGCCACATCTTTAAAGGGCTACTTGGACAAAAATTGCGAAATATTAGAAAAGAATTGGAAATCAAATAGACCTATCCATATGGATGTTAATAATTATGAAGCAACAGATTTCAAGAAAATATTCATGCAAATCCTTAATAATTTGGGCAAAAGATGTTGGAGTAGATGACGTCATCTACTCAATCCCTTTGTTCTTCCATCTTTTGAATCAAAATTTCTCTGATGTGGGATAATTCCAAGACAAATATTTTCACGCAATTGTTTTTAATAGATATAAATGAGTCATATATTTGTATTGCTTGAAGTTTTGAAATAAGGCCATTTTCATGCAAGTAGCACTTTAAAACAACGGGAAGCCAGTTCAAAATATCGTATTCATAAAATCCGACGGCAATAAAAACGGGTATATGTGATACACACAAATATTAGGATTGCGAATGATCGCGCAGCAATTTAGAAACCTTGAGTATGTTTAAACTGTTTACGATTGTTTATCTTGGTGTGTTTTAGGAGTCTAGTGTCGCTTGATCTGTGGAGGAATTCTTCTTTGTCGTCAAGTGGTTTACAACAACTCGYTACTGGATGTCCTTTATTGGAAGAATTAGAAATCGGATGGTGGTAAGTGCAATACAGATTTTCTCTGATTATGTCGAATATCCCCGTTTTCTGCGTATAAAATATATGAATAGAAACATTTCAGTATAACAAGATGACATTTTTTTCAGTTCAGATGTTATATGTTCGACTGGATGCGTGCAAGACTTCGTYAAGACTCATCCCAAACTCAAGAAACTTTTCATGGCTGCGATACGGTAAACCTATCGTAATCCCCTTAATTTTGGCGTAAATTGCTACTTTGGTGCAAGGCTGGATAAAGCACGAAGCGCAGCGTTTTTTTTAGGGCATGGCTTGACAATTGACAAATTTAAACCCCTAATGAAATCAGAAGAGATTAGGGGAAATTAATGATCAAACCTGTACGCTTGTATTGAATTCTCACACACGACTGCTTGATTATCCACAGATCAATTAGCAACGAAGACGTTCTTGCTGTAGCTGAACACTGCCCAAATATCGAACAGCTAGATATTTTAGGCACCTCGTTGGTTGGTCCACGAGCTATTAGAAAGTAAGCTTAAAGAATATTRGTATGCTTTGCACATAGTATTGCATATACAACAGCTGTCTTTCTTATTAGAAATATATAGGAGTACTGTTTTGAGCTCTGTCTAGTTTTCACTAATAAGCATAAGCATTACTGAGCATAAACATGCTTAGCGTTTATCGCGCTAATGTTTTTTCTCGCTGAAATTTCTTTGTTTCGGACTATAAAAGAGRCTTTGGAAACTTGGATTTAAAGTGTAGAAAAACTAAACTGTTTGATTTTTCTTGTGCGGTTTATTTATATATATTTGAGGCCTATGCTCGTTCTTCCCAGTATGCTTATGCGCTAGTGAGAACGTAACAATGTAGTTGTGTTCCACTGTTTTTTTTTTTGTTTTTTTTCTTCTTGATCATTAATATTTGGTATTGTGAGAAATTGTTTCTACTTTACAAATAGTTAAACATAATTTTCTATCTTTATATTTGCAGATTTATGGCCAAGCGTCCCCGACTTTTGTTTTTCGATGTTTCATTTTGTTCACAGATCAGTAAGGGATTTGTCAATGAAATGAGAACCATGTATCCAAATACATCATTCAAGAAAAGCTTTACAACTGATCATGATGATGATCGTGATGAGAATCATGATAACGATAATGATGATGACGATGACAATAATTAATAATCTATTTTTAAAACATACATTACAGTCTCGATTATTTTTTTTAATACGTACAAATGTGAAATCCACTAGCACAATTCTTATGATAACAAAAACGATTTTGTAATATACATTTTGGATGCGRTTCTGTGCAAGGTTGGTCTAACTCATCTGCATGGATTGCATGGGCACAATGCGTGATATATATAGAATTTAGTAAACGGATGAGTTGAGAGGACTTGTTTTAGTGTCACCACGTATGGCCAATGAGATCAACATAGGATTCTGAATTGAGTGATGTGCTAAAATTTATCATCACCGTCACAAAAGCACTGTATGGTATTGTACATTAATTTTTTAAAAGTTATATRATTAAAATAATGTTACATTTAAGGTATTTTTGCATTTCATCGCTTTAAAATGAGTCAGGCTTCATTCAGTTCATTTTACAGTGGTCAACTTTTAAGCGCAACTAAAATATGAGAAATGGTACGCTAAGACGGTCCAGTTTGAGTACGAGTCTTTTTCTCTTTCGTTCTCTTTTTTCTTGCCTTTCTTTTTTGAATTCTTTTTCGCCTTCCTTAAGGGTCTCAATGGGGTTAACCGTGAGCCGTGAAACGGCTGAARAATTAGCCGTGAGTCGTGAAAATGCGAAAAATTAGCCATGAGGCGTGAACATTTTTTTATAGCGTGAGCCGTGATTCAGTTTTGTCCCTCAGAAGGACAGTCAACCCCAGGCGCGCGCTTTTTTTTTGGTAAATTTAAAAAATAAAGGCTTTAGTGGAGATTTGTAAATCAGTGTAATTTTGTGAATGTAAATCCAGTCTAATCAAAGGTACTTTACTGTATTTAGGTGTAGATAGTCTTCCTTTTGACCAAAGCTTCTTCGCCGCTCCCCATAGTATACAATGGACTTGGCACTTAGATTTTTCACGTTTACTGGACGAACTCCCGGACAGAATGTCACGAAAGACTATATGTCCGGGAGTCAAAATAATTTTCAATTTGATTATACGATTTATACGAATTATCATTCATTCTCTTCAATTATTAGTATTCACTGGTTTATATTCAATAATTATTTTATAATCAATATTAATACATTTGTAAACTTTATCGAAGTGGAACGTTCTAGTGTAATGTTGGAGTTTCAGAGGTCTTAACTGTGTTTAGTTGAATCCCGGCAAGTCTTTGGCAACAGCTAGTATCGGTTAATAATTTCAAGAGATTTTTGTCGTGTTTTTTTATCCGAATACTAGTAATGCCTGTCTGATATAAGAACTGTAAAACTAATTTAAAATGTGATGATTTGGACAACAATAACGAAAACCATAGTTAACTATGCGAAAATTGAACAGCTTGGTGAAAGCCGTCACATTACACTGAACATCGGTATTCGGCCGCAAACTACCACTCAGCACCCATCCCACCCCACCCCCGTCAAATAATAAATCTACTGAAGAATGATTATCGTTTGCTAATTCCTGAGCTGAGCTCTGATTGGCTCGCTACTCCCTTTGGATTTTGGTGACGTCATATATTAGCATAGATCTTCACCGAATAGACTACCCCAATTAGATATTAGATATCTATAAGTGTCTTCATAGTACGATGGTCTAAGAGGGTAGCTAAAGGTATGCTCTAGTGGGCGGCTACCCCCTCACTCCCTGGCCTTTTGGTTAAGACTAAGTTTTATGTTCACTCGGGATAGCGTGGAAGAGCCGAAATCTTTAACCGTAACGTAAGCCGATTCGACGCCTCAGCTTCATAGAATGTCTCGGGGGAATCGTCCCATCTTTTTAGATTTTTATTTTTATTATTTCTTATGTATTCCGGGGGGGTGCATCTTCTCCTGAAGTGAAAGTCCTGAGTTCGAGTCCTGCTGCTGGAATTTCTCTTTTTTGCTAGCGCATTGTTTCTTTTGCGTTTGTTTCTAGTTTTCTTTTATTCTTTCTTTTTTGCTCTTTTTCATTTAGTCTTTTTCTTTGCTGTTTTCACTTCGTTATCTTTTTTCTAGTGATTTTCTCTTTTCAGCTTAAAGGACTCGCAAGGAACGCCTGCTACAAGTGGATGGTTACGGTTTCGTCACTCAACATGATGACATAGTAATGAGAGGCCCCACAATGCCTTTCGTCACAGAAATGATAAAAAATGACTTTTTAGATGTCATCAAGGTCATGAACGTTTTAATGACGTTTCAAGGGGAAGATAGTGTTCTTTAGGACAACATCGCAGTCTTATTCATTTTCTACGACCTATTTCCAACTCAATTCGCCCGAAAAAGTAGACGGATGGAAAACGTTAAAAAGCTTAAAAGAACTCAAATGCACTTATTTATAATACTAAATTTGAGTTGGAAAGGAGGTTGGAAAAAATTTCCGTATCCGTATGATACGACTGCGTGACTTATACGGTCTTCCTTGCTTATTTTTGCGCTGAGGACCTCTGATGGGCTCCCTGTCWATAACCTCGCTTGCATGTGCATATTTACGCTCTAATGAGTAAAATGGCGGACGAATTGTCACGAGATTCTGCTCATTCAAGAGTTTCATTTGATTCTTATTTATGAAGTCACAATTGTTTTGTAAAACTGGAACCCGGTATAATAATAATTAAACATTGCACTACAAAGTGGCGCATYCTGAAGTCGAATGGAGGYATTTGTGGTGAACACGTCGAGACTYGTCAGTGATGTGATCGGTAGGAATTCAAAATAATAGTAAATTTACAATTGTTTCACTTGTAGTTTCCAGTTAATGTTACTGATTTTAAGAAGATAAAAGCTTTATTTAACATTTGGATTGTATATGTTAAATCTAGCAAAATCGTTCATTTATTAAAAAAAATAATCCGGCAGTTTATAAACGTACAAATTGTACAATTGTTTTCTTTGAGGCCGGGTCTGGGGCCATGCCCGGATGTTGAGTAGTTGCTGGCAGGTGTAAGAAACCTGTACGTTTCARTGTTWAGAACGTAACTGTTTTATCACTTAATCAGTATTTGCTTATAATTGTGTAATTACCAAAGAAGGAAAAAAGTAGTACCTCAACATGAACCTTTTAGTAAATATCTTAAAACCCGAGTTGTGCATTGTTCTAAGAATAAAAAAGTTATAAAATGTTAAAACATTTTATGATATGATGTATCTTGAACAATACAGGTGGTATTGCYGAGCTTAAAAACACATTTCATACAGAAGGCCAACCAATCAATGAYGACAATGTCACTCTACAAAAGTTTTGTGTCAAGTTGGAAACGATTTTAAGACATCAGCADAAAGGTTGGTATTGCTGCCAGGTTTTTATTTATTTACTTGATACTCAAAATGCAAAAGATCTGTAGTGATATTGGTGGTTGAACAGTAGATACTGATGTGGAATCTTGGCTTTTTAATGTCAAGTTAAATGATAATATCAGTGGCGGATCCAAGGGAGTTCCACGGGTTCCTAGGAACCCCCCTCAAGCATGAAAAAATAAAATTAATGATAAATGAAATAAAATGAATACACACGTTACATTTGCTACAGTTTGAGAGGCACAGTAAAAAATGTTTGTTGTAGAAAAATGCGAAAACAAAGTGGAACCCCCCTTTAAAAAATCCTACCACAAGGTGAAATCTGTTAATATGAAATAAGCTAGTCCCTGTTACTATAACTACATTAGAATGCCAATTCTACAAAATCTTAGGTTTATTTATTTTTTATTSTTTTTCCTTTTTYCTCTAGAAAAATACACACTGCTAGGCATCAGAAAGGATTATTGGAATTTCATCACCGATGTTGTTTCTAAGGATGATGGTGTCAAGTATGTCAACATGATTCCACAGGTATCAGAGATGATGATGATKATTATGGTAGTCGTAGTATGAATAATCATTGCAAATGAACACAATATTGTCATGTCAACTCCAATTGCTGTAATCATTATGGACACCTTGAAGACAACTACATGATATAGACAGGTTCCAAAAGCCATCTTTAAAGGTGGCCATGCTTTTGCATCAAAGCAAGACAAACACTGAGCATGTGAAAATAGAAATCATCTATGATATCTACAAGCAATTATTTAAAGGTATCTATCATTACATGTTCAATGGCTGTCTGGTTTCAATGCAATGATATGGCTATCTTTGATGCAATGCACAGGTAACCATGAACAAAAAAAAAAAAAGTGACAATCATTTACTTACATAAGCTGTAGATTGATTGAGAATTCTTTACAATTTCAATGAACTTTAGATGAAAACATCACAAGGCAAAGGAAGGTGCTTCATAAGATACGCTCTAGTCAAACAAACTCTCGCAGATACCATTCAAAGACTTCTTGTCAGCAAAAGTACTCTCAGGTGAGTCATGGGTACTCAACTTGAATTTGATTTTATCTCATTTGTTGTATCAAATTTTACTTATTTTTCTTTATTTGACTAAGTAGAGTTGACACACTTAATATGTGAAACAAATAGTACTAATTACTACTAAATAGTGTTGATCAGACAAAAATAAAAAACAAAGAAAAAAAGAAGCATAAGTTTTGTACTTTTCAGTTTTGCAGATTAATTGTGTTGGCTTTGATTTAATTTAATTTTGATTTATTGATAATTAATAAATTATTTATTAGTTCAGATATATCTAATCATATCTTCTAATAATCTATACGTGTATATTCTTTTATTACCAGTTCCTGGTATCGAGAAGATGCCATTTTGCGAAATCCATCCTTGTCAACAGCTCTTATAAATAAACTCTACGACCTTAATGGCGTGGAATTTGATTTGCCGTGTGCTGGTTATGACCTGGACATTTCCTGGCCTGCCTTCTCAARGTAACTAGTAGTTACTAACTTAGCAATCAATCTTTTTAAAAAAACGTGTTGCCATTAAATTCAAAAATACATTTTATGTTTTGCGCACCTAAAATACAGAAATTGCAGCCATTTATATATTTTTGTGTCAAAATATTTAGTCACAACAGAAGTACATATGTACTTCTGGTCACAATCACTGTTTTCGATAATAAACTTAAAA